AGCATTCATTGAAGCGGTATGTTCTGGGCTGGGGATGTAGCTCAGCTGGTAGAGTGCTTGCCTAGCACACATGAAGCCTTGGGCTTAACCCCCAGCACTCCCACAAACTAGGCGTGGTGACACATGCTTGTAATCCCGGCACTCAAAAGACAGAGGCAGGAGTTCAAAGTCACCTTCAACTACATAGTAAGTTCATGGCCAACCTGAGATACATGAGATCCTGTCTCAACTAAATAAAAAAAAATGAGTGGAAGGATGAATAATTGTGTGGATGAACAGGATATGTTCTACATTCAATATCTTTAATTTAATTCTAAGTATTACTTAAAATTAGACATCAGGAAATGGACAAGAAATCTCAGGCCTTATCAATACTTCCTTATGGCAGAGGCAGGGTCTGCAGCAGACCTGTGCCCAAGCATCTCAGGAGAGGGTGCCTGGTCCCTCCACTGCCAGGAAGAGTCCGTGATGTCTAGATATTTCCTCTCTGTGCCTCCCCTAGCTTCTCTGTTCCGTCCCTCAAACACAAACAGGCTGATGAAATCCCTTCCAACTCGGCCAATGCAAACTGTGGCTTAAAACTGGAAATGAACTGAAACCACACACTAATACCTGCAAGGCCATTAAAGCTTTACATCCCTGTGTAGAACATGAGGCCCAGCCAGCATCAGTATGCTTTCAATGGCTTCATGGTAAATGTTGAACAAATTAGTGTCCCCTTAAGGTTGTCCTGGGGCACATGGAGTCACAGTCTTTAATTTTAATGAGACTCTATTACACAATCTCTTATCGCCTCTTAACTGCCAGGAAAATGACCACCAGCTTAATGTTCAGCAAAATAGCTCACTTGGACCTCAAAGAAATTACCTTGAAATTATTACACTTAACCGTGGCCAATGCACCAGGGTTCATTTGAGAAGAGGCGGCCACCTGGCACTTCCAGCATAAAGATACGTCATATCCTTGGGCTTTTCAGGTTTAGCTCTTTCTGGCCTTATCTGATTTGATGCATGTTCCCTTCAGAATGTAAATATTTAAAATGCAGGCGACACTGAGTCCCTTTCCTGATTGACAGGGCCAGGCAGCTTCAGCTGAGGAGGAGACTGTGCCTCTGCTAGCTTGTTTTATGTCAATTTGACACAGGCTAGAGTCGTTTGGGAAGAGGGAACCTCAACTGAAAAAAAAAATTTCTCCAACAGATTGGTCTGTATACAGGCCTGTGGGACATGTTCTTGGTTGATGTGGGAGGGGCCAGCTTACTGTGGGCGGTGCCGTCTGTGGGCTGATGGTCCTGGTGCTGTAAGGAAGCAGGATGAGCAAACCATGGGGAGCAAGCCATAGGCAGCACCCCTCCATGGCCTCTGCCTCAGCTCCTGCCTCCAGGTTCCTGCCATGACTTCCTTCGACGTGGACATGTAAGCCGAAATAAGCCCTTTCCTCTCCCAGTTGCTTATGGTCGTGATGTTTTGCCACAGCACTAGAAACCCTAACTAAGACGGTGCCTGCAGCTGGTCAGGCTGTCTCTGCAGTCATTAGCAGGCTAAGAAGGTCAATCCCAACCCCCTTGGCAACACTGGACTTTTAAAAATAATACCAGGAAAGTAAAAATAGCACTGTTTCATATCTATTAAATAAAATCGTAGATGAAGAGCCTCGCATAAAGCCTTGGTCACAATTGTTCAACAACAGCCGCTGTTTTTTCTGTTAGCGCCACAGCAGCCCATTCCCAGCGAAGACCTCTAGACCCATGTTTTCTCCCAGACAAAAGCAGGTTTATCACACCTTGCCAAATAAAGGCACAGTCGTCTGAGTTCAAACGAGAGACAGAACCCACATGGCCCGCTAAACACAGGGTTTAAACATAAAAAGAAACTATGATAAAGGGAGAGTATAAAATATAGGCACCCCAAAGCTGACAAAGCACGTCCCAGGAAGAAGGGATATGGAAGATTTCCAAATGCTGGATGCTAGACGTAAAACTTAGGATCTCCACCTGGGCCTAGGGAGTAAGTCGTCCTGGGACAAAGCGGTTACTAGACAGATTGCTTGGTGAAGAGAACGTTTGCTCAGGTTTGGGGTCGCACCGGGTCTTTCATGCTCTTGTATCAGCTTCCTACTACACTGTAACCACACACATAAGAACACAAATTTAGAGACCTAAAGCCACAGATAGTTTTTCTTGCCGTCTGTAGGTAGTCTGGCATCAATGTGAATGGCTGAAGCCAAGGGCTCAAAGGCGCCACCTTCTGGACGGATGCACCCCTGCAGCCTTACATCTGATGGGTGCTGGACTTCTTACTCACTGTTCCTTCTGAAAGCCACAGTGGGCTATAGCTTCCCATGTCTGACAGGAGAACTGGTTCCTTCCCCTTGTTCAGCTTGCAGAAGCTGCCTGCATTCCTCAGCCCTTCCCCACACCATTCCTGCTGCTGGCTTGAATGTCACAGTGCCTCCTCTTCACTCCGACTCTCCAGCCTCCCCACGGGGGCTCCTGCGATCCCCAGAGGTCTGTGAAATACTCTCCCCACCTCTTACCCACGTCTTCACAGCCCCTCTTGCTGTGTTCATCAGGTCAGCAGAACTAGGCAGTGGGTGTCTCTGAGTCACCGTTCTGCCACCACATCTCTGTTCTGAGGTAATTCCAGAGTGCTCTCCACCCTCTGCCATGGCCATGAGGAACCTGGGGTGACACTGGTCCACTGAGAAGTTCTTCATGTCTAGCTGGGGACAGCACGGCTCTGTGACAAGCCGTCAGCTGTCTTCCTGGGAACTGTTTTTCCCTTCTCTGTTCTGCTCACAGCAACTCCCCTGTTCTCACCACAGTTCTGTGCCTACCCGGCTACCTACAGCTTCCTTCCCAGCCACGAAGCAGATGGGGTTGGGGGGTTGGGGCAGTGAGAGAGTAGAGAGGGTGAGAGAGCAGGAGTATGAGGCAGGGGGATTCTCACCCACGGTGGGAGGAGAAGTGGGTAGTGTTCTCTTCTCTCCCAGCATCCCTCTTGCTGGTCTTCATTAAAGACTTTCTTCCTGCCCTCCAGCTTAACCCCAAAACTGTCAAAGGCCAGCATTTGCCATATTTTAATTGTAATAAAATACTTTCCCCAAAATTCTTCTTTGGGGTATTGCTCACATGATACACTGAGGCTGATAATTACTCCTGTGACGTGCATAACTCACCATAACTGAGCAGGTAATGTGGATTGGAATGATTTAGATTTTTGTTCCATTTTGTTGTTGTTGTTGTTGTTGTTGTTTTATTTTGTTATTCTCCTTGTTTTGCTTGGGGACAGGCTTTCACACTATAGTCCAGGCTGGTCTTGAACTCACTGGTTCAGTTCCCAGCACCCACATGGCAGCTCACAATCCTCTGTAACTCCAGCCCTAGGGGATCTGATGTTCTCCTCTGATCTCTGTGAGCACTGAATGCATGTAGGACACAGTCATACATACAGGTAAAACACCCATGCACATAAAATAAAATAGTATTAGTTAGTTTTTACCCAATTTTTAAACAAATAGAAAAATGTAATCAGAATTAATTATCACATGGTGGTATTTTTTCCTGAAAGTCTATATTATTATTTTTCTGTGATGGATATATATTAGTTTATCCATTTTAAGTACATTAGCAAAATATATTACCTTATAAGGAATATTGAATGCTCCCAGGAAACTCACTACTATGTATACCCAGTTAAAATTATTAATTTTTAAAATCCTGGCTTTTTTAAAAAAATGAACCATTTTGGGGCAGGGTATCACTGTGTGATAGTAGAACGGACCATTTGTTAACCTTGGCGTTTCACATTTTAACAAAGGTATGCTGTGGTTACCCAAGTGGGCCATCAGAGGGCGCCAAAGCAGGCCGCTTATATTTAGCAGCTGAACCGGATGGCTTGGTCCCAAGGCATTTCTAGCAGACTTAAAATGGGCAAACAGAGTAAATGTTTGTTAGTGATATATTTTAGTACATTTTTTTCAACATACAAAAAAATTTAACATTATCACTTCCCTGAAGGTCAGGTTCTCAAAAATTCCGGAGATATGTAGACTCTTAACACTTAGCTCTGATAGTTATCAATCTCTAAATTGCTAGGAATCCAGACAAATGGTAATAAGGATTGCTCATCAGAGTGGCCAGTTGTCAATGGAGGTTACCAGTATCCAGGGTGGTACAGCCCCCACCCCACCCCTGACAAGTCGCTGCTCTTCCTCCGCACACCACACAGGGCCACCGAGTCTGTTTCCGTATGACCCACACCTGTCTCCCTGCCCTGAGCTGGCTTAGAACTCTCTTCTAAAGGATGAGTGTGTCACAGAAAAGCCTAGAAAGTTCCAAGAGCTTGCAGCTGGGGATGCACACGAAGACCATAACTGTCATGTCTGTGATGCTGTGACTCCATTGCCTGCACCTGCACATGGGGAATGTGACCAGGAATAATGTGCATTGCTCCAGCTGTCACTTTTGATGATTTTCCTCTCTTCCACTTGGGAAGATCAAATTCTGCCAGAGGACATGTGCCCTCACCACCACCACCACCACCACCACCACCACCACCACCACCACCACCACCCTCAGCCTCTAGGGATGCTAACTGTGGCAGAAAATCTCATCTATGAAAAGCAATGTGGCCATATTGAATTGTAGCATGAGAAGGGGGTCATCTGAGGGTCAGCATTCCTCCGTAAGCAGATAGTGTCAGAAAGTGGAATTAACAGTTCAGTGCGAGAATCATCTTTAAGACATGACTATATCGGTGTATGACCATCTAGTTCAGAGGTCAGCAGTGGCGATCGAATCAAGCAGGTTTACTTGAGGATGGATCTTAATCCAGCCAGCAAATCACTCAGCTCGAAGGAAGAGATGTCCTCCATTTCCTCAGGCTGGACCTCAGATCCTGCGCTGTTGAAATCGTTTCCAGAAACCAGGGCTCAAAGAGTGACATCCTCACTCCTGGGATAGTGACATTCTAACAGTGTGTGTCACGTTCTTTCCACAGCTCGACCATTATCCTTCTGCGAGTTACCATCTGCCCAGCTCCTCTGACACGTTCTTCAATTCTCCCAAGTCGCTCTTTCTTGGAAAAGTTATAGGTAAGTCTTTGGTTCTTCGGGTAGGAGTGCAGTGTTAGGAATGTACCTGACACACGTCTTATGCTGCAGTAAGTGTGAAAAGTGTGAATTTGCCTTTTTAACTATAGACCTCTCTCAGTGAGGTCAACCCTGAGCATCCTTGTACGAGGAAACCTAGGTGGTGGCTGACAGCGGCTCACAGGAGTGTTAGAAAAATCCTCTTTGGGGTATTGTTCATGTGACACACTGAGGCTGCTAACTACACCTGTGACGTGCATTATGATTAGCATAGAGTGCGGCGTCTCAGGCAGCACCCAGAATGGGACTGCCATTATATGGCACCTACTATAGAGCAAGATGCAATTATAAACTCCCAGCTCCCCTCTGTAAAATGTGTTCTTTGGTGTATTAAAGGCCTCTGCCTATACACAACATTTAAATTAACCTCTTCCTGATGATTCACTCCCAAGAAATTTGTCTAATGTCATTTGCAGATTATATGAAGTAGAGGACTCATCCCCTCCATGTGACTGAATTTATAAGCACCTTTGTCCTTTCTCTCCATATAAGAAGTAGGAGTCACCTAGATGAAAAGGCAGGTGCTATTGCCTATGAACACTTTTAGTGTTTTACATGAAGTCAATAAAATTTCCCTTTCCTGTGAGAATGTCTGTCATGAAGCAGATGTCGGTGTCTGCATGAAGCACAGCCCACGTCTCAAGGGGATAAAAGACCACTTATCCCCAGCCACATAGGCCTGACCGTGGCCAGGGAACATGGTTCAGATCGCCCCCAAATAACACGTTCCAATGTGGAAATGAGTACAGGAGCTTTCACAGTCACAGGACATGTCGTCAATCAAAGCACTTTTCAGACACGTTGATGGGATATCACACAGAGGACTTCTGCTCTATGTTGTTTCTGACGATGTTCTTAGCCTTGGGGTTGGTGAAAGGATGCTTTGTTAATACTTCTACCTGAGTGAACACATGTTAGGTGGACAATGAATAGTTAACAGGACTGGAGATAATAGCTTGGTTCTGGATCTGCAACATTCAACTTTTCACAGTCACAAAGTTCTCATCAGTCAATCAGGCTTTAAAATATTTGACCTAAGTGTGGCTTTTTTCTGGGCTCTTCAGCTCACAGTGGTAACATATAAATTTGGGGAAAGGTCACTCTGTCTAGTGGGCATTGGTAATGCTATTTCACTAGGCCACTTTGCTCACTGTACAGTATGCCAATTTGTGAAGCCACAAGTTTTTCAAAACTGAATTTACTCACAAAGCAGCCAAACATGAAGAAAAGGAGCCTCTGAAGCCATGTGCACCTCCCCAAGATAAGGTTTAGGGGTTTTCATGAGATAAGGAAACAGGGTGTTGTGAGGTGTGAAGGCAGGTGACCAGAGGTCAAGAAAGGGTGATCAGTAGCCTACACATGCAAACGCTGTCTCCATAGAATATATGTTCTGAAAACGGCCCTGATAGTGTGGTCTATGGCAGAGTCTGGGGCCCTGTGATGTCAGAAGGTTGCCTGTCAATCACTTATGCAGACCTGAAACATGGGGGCTTCAACCGATTTGAGCTAGGCAAGGTTATCTGAAAACACAATCTGTCTTTACCAAGGTGACCTACTCTTAATCCCAAAGATGGGAGGAGAAACCTGACAAGGTGGTCAAGACAACAAGGTGGCCATAGCAAGGTAGTCATAACAACCTTTTGAAACAAAGATAGGTTTGCAAGATGGTATTACAACTTTTTGGAACAAAGGCATGATAGCAAGGTAGTCACATGTGACATTAATAACCTTTTGAGACAGAGGTGGCCGTTTCCTGGAACAGGCAGTGCAGAGCCATTTGTAGTTAAGGCTATAGGTGAGGCACAGCCCAATCTTTGAGAAACAGATTTAATCATAAACAGGAATGACCCTAGTTTGTCTTTACTATAAGATGGTTTTCAAACCTAAGATGGAGGCAGGCTGGCTCATCACTAGCACACTTGAGATAAGCAGCCTAGAGTCAAGTCAGCAGGGTCTCACTTTACTATTTAGTTAGGAGTCTCCCAAAACAACTGAGCAGGCTGAGAATACAAGGCCAGTGCTGCTGGAAGCTTCTTTGGCATTTCCCTGATTTCTAAAGGAAGTGCCTTCACTTGAGAGGGAGAAGCTCATGCCTCTTATAAGAAAAAGAATTGGTTAGCTTCATTATATGAAGACTTGGTTACATCAGCCGGAGAAATGCAGGGTCACAATATGAGGGACAAACAGGAGACCAAGCCTGTAGTGAAAGCGATAACGGGCATTTACATAGACTCTCACCTGCATAGACTCCATTTTCAGCACTTCAGCTGTATTAACCCCTTTGACTTTCATCACAATTCCAGGAGGGGGTTGAGATGATTACCTCCCCCCACAGATGACAAAACCCAGCACAGGTATGTAAAGTAGCTGCCCACTGCCCCCTGGCTGACAAGCAGCAGAACCAAACTTAAAGACATGAAGCCAGCTCTTGACAAGGGTGCTGTTGTCTCTGGGACAAGAAACACGGAAATGAAGAGGAGACAGACAAACAGCAAGAATCAATGGGGAAATGCAAGGCTGAGGTAGACCAGTAAGCGCTGAAGTTTCTATGACATGCCAGAAAGTGGAAAACCAGGAACACAGCCATCCCGGTGTTCACTGAGACAGTTAGGCCACCAGGCCAGTAAGAACCCAAGAAGAAGAGGCTACATGTGCTCTGGGTCAGCAGAAAGGGTGGTTGATAGCAAAGGCAGAATTGGAGCAAGGAGGAGAGCTGCAATTTAGGCTGTCAGGCCTTAGATTTCTGTACAGTGTGAGCAAATAACTAAATAGCTACTCTTTAATCCCTTGTGTCCTAAAAATAACATGCTAGCATGGTGTCAAATATAGGTCTAACTACATTGTCTTTGTTGATAGTTTCTAGTAGTACTCTGCATTTAAAAGATCTTATCATGATTTTATGAAAGAAGACAACAAATTTTTTGACATATCTAATTTATACATGAACACAGTGTGTAAATGTCATAACAGTCCAATGAAACAAGATCTGTCAGTACCACCCCCTCTTACATGAGACTGAGGGTTACTCATCCGACACGTGGGAAAGTGGTTTTTGAAGTCATCCCACCCGGTATGTGCCCTATGTCCTTAGAAGGGGGCCCATCAGAAATTGGCTCTCATCCTCCCTGATCAATGAGATCCTGTAGATCAAGCCAGGAGCAACGCTGAATGAATGTCTGTTGAACTAACAATCATGAGAAGAGAATCAGAATGAATGGCATTGACACAGCACGAGATAACAAGACTTGTGGTGACAGCAGTGGTGACACACAATGAGGTCAGCTCAGAGATGACGTCAATCCTTACCTGGTTTGCAGCCTTGTCCTTTGTTGAGGGTTTTGGTTTGCTTGCTTGCGTGCGTGCATGCATGTGTGCATGCATGTTTGTTTGTATGCGTGCGTGCGTGCGTGCGTGCGTGCGTGCGTGTGTGTGTGTGTGTGTGTGTGTGTGCGCACGCGTGCGTGCATGCATGCTTGGGTGCATGCTTGGGTGCATGCTTGCTTGCTCTGCTTCACTTTGCTCTAGTCAGAGATCTGATGAAAATATACTAGAAAGAACACAGGCCTAGGAATCGGGCAAAGCTGGTTAGACTTGAACTCAGGCCTGTCTGTGAAAAAACTCTTGGTCCTCTTGCACTAATAATTTGTGATTTAACCTCTCAGAGTCTGGAGTTCCCCAAATGCATCATGGAAAGCTCACCCATCTGCCTCCAAGTTGTTGGTTCCCTAAGAATGAAGATGGTGGGCATTTGTAAAAACTGATCTATCAATAGTACCCATCCCAACCTAAAACAAATGCTTAAAGAATAAAGGAAGGAAATGAATGTGTGGAGGAAATGAACTACCCTTTTACTATTAATCTGGTAAGACCTGAGAGAGGGCTTATCCAACACAATGCTTGACACACAAATACTGGAAGTGCTGGCACTGCTGGATGCTGGCTGTGTGCCAGCTGTCCTGTCACATGCTCTCTGTACAAGACTCTCTGCATTCCTCCAACACCACCCCAAATCACTGCAGCCTCACCAGCCCCGCTCACTAGATAACAATGGCACTCTTAGACTGTGATAACCAGGAAAGGCTCCAGACACTACCTAATGTCCCCCAGGATGGCAAGATCACCACCAGTTGAGAGCTACTGGTTTAAAATGACACAGCTAATCCATGGGATGCCGGTGTAGGAAAAGTATGATGCTTGGCCCGTGACCTTGGCTCTGCTGGCTGTTAACACCTGCACCCTTAGGGATGGTGGGGAAGCAAGGAGGGCTACTGATCCATTCAAGACGCCATTTTGCTGCAAAGAAGTCACAGAACCAAAACCAGGACATATGGGTGGCCGGAGAGGCTGCTTTTCACCACCTCATCAAACTAACAATCCTTAAATGTGTCATCATTTATTAGTACAGGCAGGAGTATTTCTAAACTTCCCTTTGAACACAGCATATAGTTCAGTGAGAAAAATTTGCATTTTCCAGATATATGAATACTCATCTGAAAAGATGCATAGGGCTCCCAACAGTTATCTCATGCACTCCAAAGGTTCCACAACCCCTAGAAACCCATGCTATTCAGTTGTTGCCTTACTGGGTCAACTGCTAATCAGTAAGTGATCCCATAAAAGGAGAAGGAGACAAATCTAAATAAATAATGCAGCTTCCCACTGAGCCTTTTAATGAGCATTGCCTGAGAAAGGCTTCTGGGGGGGAGAAGGAGAGAAAGGCCTCATCAAGGACAGTGTGAGCAAACTTCCTACTGGGAGTGGAAACAAAAGTGAGAACTGGGTCTGTCTGCCTCAGAACTTCAGCATGGATGCCCTGTAATCCTGAGTCCTTTAGCCCGAAGTCGGAACCCCAGCAACTAGCAAAAAGAAAATCCATCAGGACGAATTGTGTCTACTTTTTTATCATTTACTACCTAAATGATGTCCTGGATTTTGAGTCTGCT